GCATACCTGAGGTCGGGAGCTGAGTGAAACTCACAGCCAGACCTTAGTCTGGCACACCCAGCAGAATTGTGAAATCCAACCTCTGTACAAATACAGCCTTGCAGAACATCAATACTAAATGAGGTCACTCTGAGACCATGTTAAAACACATAGAAAAATGAGGCCACTGTGTGCCACAAGCCACCCAGTTGTGGACCCTGCTTCCATCACTCGACAGAGCCAAGAGGCTGTCGGGCGTCCTTGTTGACACCTGCATGTCCCAGGGTCAGTGAGTGATGGCCTAACCTGTCCAACCACAGTGTGTCCCTGTGGGCCATAGTTAGTTGGCCCTGGCTACCCCCAAAACTCAGATGACCACAGCAGGTCCAACACCACCCTAGGCTGCCCTGGAAGCACACCAGCCACTGGGACCATTGTGTGTGATTTCCGAGGGGTTGTTATGATCCAGTTTACCTCAAGAAGCTATGTGAAAGATACAGACACTGCTTGCCTTGCCTGCCAGCCTCAGTTTATTATTGAGGACACTGAGGATCAGAGAGGTACCCTTGACACCCGGAAGAATCCCACCAGGAACTGAGATCAGGTGGCCCAAGAGCCCTGAGCTCCAGCCCAATAATGCAGAGGAGCCAGCATGCTGGCTAAACTAGCAGGTGCCTGAAGAGCTGACCACCTAAACTAGCAGGTGCCTGAAGAGCTCGCCGGGATGGCAAAGGCCTCATAGATAAGGAAGGCTGAGCACCCATGACCCTTCACACCAACCCTGTCTGGAGGCTGAGGTCATGGCCACAGGATATGGTGCTCCACAGAGTTTATCGTTAAACCACCCAAAGTCCAGCTTCTGGACTGGAAAGATGGCTGCTTCTGAGGCCCACTCTAAATGTCCCTGCCAATCTATCCATGGGGCTCTGAGGCTGCACCAGATGTTGTCATCTGCTGCCATCACCTAGCCTCTGCCCTGCCACCCAAATCTGGGCTGAGGCCTGCCCATGGGCTCCCAGGTCCCAACCTCCACCCTCTCCAGTCCAGCTCCTTCAGGAAGAGCCTCTTGAGCCTGCAGGTCCCCACTCAGCCCTGATGCTCTGCACTGTCAGGATGCTGTCTTCTCCTGGCATAGGGTCATGTGTGCTTGTGCCCAGGCCCAAAGCCCTCTGCAAAATGCCTCCTGGCCTGCCCAGACCTGTTGGGGCCTCATGTCCTGGTCAGCCTACCAGACTGCCAGGGTCTCTGGGAGCCACTGTGCGCCAGTTACCTCACCTTTTTGGTCCACTCAACGATCCTGCCTTCAGTGAAGGTCTCAAACATCTCCTGGAAGAATATGCTCAGCTTCTGCTGGATCAGGGAGATGGTGATCTCAGAGATGGGCAGGTTAGCCACCTGGGCAATGACATCGGCCACGCGGCCCGAGCCTTCCACGATCACACAGGGGGTGCCCTTGGTGATGGCGTTGTAGATGGTCTGCAAGGCAGGGCCAGGTGTGAGCCAAGCTGGCCTGGCTGCAATGCTGCCTGAGGTGACAGGGGTGCAGCAGGCTAACCCACTCCAGTGAATGCTACTAGAAGCAATTATCCTCCGGTAGCATCCCATTGCCCAGAGAGAGCAGGGACTAACCCGATTCCCTTCAGGTCTACACTCGCTGCACCACCTGCTTCAGGCTTATCGTCAATGACTCTGTGACAAGAGCTGAGGACTTGTCCACCCATCTGTCTGCCACCTCCACAAGGGAAGCTGTGCTGCAACCCAGCCCTGCTCAAGGCCCTGGGGGAGACCTAGACAAGAGTGATGGGAAGTGCTGACTTTGGCAATTACGAAAGGATGTGAGGAGCCACCAGCGGGAAGGGCCTTCAGTGCTGGAGCACTGCCTCAGGGTGAAGAAGCAGAACGTGGGTGCAGCCTGGCTGATGAGCTGGAACAGGGCTTGGCTATAGAAGGCATCGAGACCCCAGGATCCCCCACGGCTCTGATCTGACCTCTATGACCATAGAAAAATAACAGAGACATTTTCTAGGATCTCATTAATAAAACAGCCACGTGCTTCCCTAGATCCCAGTGTGAGCTCATCCTACATTCCTCTTCCCCATAAAGGTCAGCAGCCCCGAGGGAGTGTGCTCACAGCCCACAGGGCCTCAAAGAAAGACCAGTAGAGTGTGTATGCAGACCACTTGGCAAATCTACTTTACTATATCCTTTAGCCCACGGACTCTGGGGAGGCCAAGGGTCTGTGTTTGCAAAGAACACGTGGGAAGTCTGGCTGGTGGAATTGCAGAAGCCCCCTACTGGTCTCCTCAGAGGGGTCCTGGGACCAGGGAGCCACCCACCTCTGACTTCTGGGCCAGTCAGTTGCTCGGCCAGAGCCAAGCCCACCCTACCCCCTCCAGGACCCATCACCAGGTTTCCTCCTCCATTTAGAAATAGTCCCTGACTCACATGGGCTCTGTTTCCTGTCTCCTGGTGGACACGCATGTTGCCTTCTCCTGACCATACGCCCACAGGGTGCTGGTGATGCCCTCCGACCCATTCAGTACCGGATGCCCAGAGGATCCCTGCTGGTGGTACTCACATGCAGCGTGCCAGGGCCACCCTCCAGCACCACACAGACGATGGGGACCTTGATGGCCACACCTAGACAGAGCAGGAGCCCAGTGAGGGGACATGAGTGCCAAGGAAGCTTCCCACCCTGCCAACTCAAGCAGCCATTTACCCAGGCATAGGTGAGGACAGTCCAAGGACTAAGCAGCTTTTACAGGTGGTGCTGACTTGTTCTCCATTGACAGCAGGTACAAGAGCACGAATACCACACCTCCCCTCGCTGTAGCTTACTCTACTCCTGTCCAAGGTCTTGAGTGGGACAGAGGGTGAGGACTGTAGGCAGCGGGAGCTGGCATCCTTGTTCCCCTAGCAGACACACAACCACCTGCTTTTCTCTACAACCCTTTCCTGGTACCTCAAAATTGTGAACATTTTTCAAAATCAAAATGGAGTAATTTATTCCACCCTAATTAAAGTGAGCCAGGAAGGTTGTGGAAGAGGATTTTTCTCTGCATGTCTGATAACAAGAACTGTTATTTAGAGAACTCTGCCATTATCACAGCCTTGCACAAAGACCACTGCAACCTGACACAAGGACTACTTATGCAAGGACATCTGCCCAGAGGCTGCCTGTCCAACCTTGGACAGACAACATGCTCATCAACGATCCTGGTAGCCAAGGAAAATTATCCCCAAACAATGGGTATAACTCCTTTTGGCCACCTCTCGCTTATGGCTTTTGCATTTAAAACCTGCCAAACAATTATAAGACCTCAGTGAGTATGTTTAGGGCTACCTAAATTATGCTAATTCAGGCTGTATCCTGGTATAGTCCTCAAACTTATGCTCAAATAAAGTCTTTTATGCTTTACCTACTTGCTTTGGTTTACCTCGTTTGAGTATCAAAATCCAGGCATGCCTAAGAGAGTACAACAAGCAAGTGGACATAACTCGTCACTCGCAGCCATCTGTTCAAGCCTCACCCTAAGCTTGCCACCCAAGCCTGCAACAAGGGCAACCTGAGAAGACTTGAGAAGCCCTTCCCCAGGCAGAGCTTTCCCCAGGTGCCAGCAAAATTCCCTTTGTCTTCATACTCTGCTGCCTGGGTTCCCTTAGTCAAAGCGTAGTTGGCAGAATGTGGACCCTGGACTGCAAACACTAGCATCATCTGAGGACTTATCAGAAAGATAAGCTCTCAAACCACCCAGACCTGCTAAGTCAGAGGCCCTGGATGAGGGGCCCAGCATGCCAGGTGCTGAGACAGCAGGGGGTTCTGATGCACAATGATGCTTGAACCGGCTGCTCAAAGGGTACCCCAACTAACCCAGGGCCAGGGCTAGAAACTTGGCAAATATCTAGGTTCTCTTCTTTGCCCCTTCCTCAAATCATGAGCAAGTGATTTTTGCTATATTTGAACTCCCGGTGTTCTCAGATCTGACCTATAAGAGATGATTCTGAGTTTTTACTAGAATTCAGTCTGACTCTGAGCTCGAGACTGTGTTCGTGGTTTCAAATGATCACAGGTTTAAAATTATTGCAGGATCTCTAAAGAATGCACAGACAAGCTGCAGACCCATCCTGGCTTTCCTGCCACTGGTTAAAATGGAGGGAGGAGAAGACTCCCCACTGAGCAAAGAGATGTAGGAAATAAATGCAGGTGTGTTCTGATAGCAACTCTAAGTGCCATGCTGTTGAATGTCCTGGTGGCAGCAGCTCTGTCCCTGACACTTTGACTAGCCACTGCTCTCTCTGCCCCAAATGCCTTGAAAGCCTGCCCCACTTACCTCCTCTTTCCTTTGTCTGTTCTGAGATGAACTTCTCCAGCTTAGTCCTCAGAGGAATCTCCACCCCATACTGGCCATGGGTCCCATCGTCCACAAGGATGAAGTGGGAGTGGTTGCTGTCCAGGCAGGTCAAGCTCCCTTGGCCTTCCTCATCCAGGATGTACTCAGCGGGGAAGCTGCCCTGGGGGGGGGGGCAGGTAAGAGTTCGACACAGACTGATGGAAAGTCTGCATCTTTCTTGCTAGGAATGTAGGGTCTAGGAAGCTGAATAATGACCCCTAAGAATTATAAATCATAGACTTGGATACTTAGCTGAGAAGGTTTGCAAGCAAAGTGTTGACATTACAGCCGGGTTTCTGCTTACAGCTTATCATTAAATGCAAAAGGAAAGATAAATTAAGAGAAAAACTGCATGGCAGAAAGGAATCAGGACGAGATGATTTGCAAAATTTTCAGCCTATCTAGATTGCATAAAACTTAAAAAAATGAAGAGAGTCACTGCTGGAAAAGCATACTCTTTTAGAAATGTAGATTCTGAAGAGAGGGCCAAAGGTGTGACTAAAAATATCCTGGTGATGAAGAGCTTAGACATGAAACTGGATTTACACAACGGTCTCAACAGAAGCCAGCAACAAGGATGGCAACATTATCCTAAAAAGATCTATGGAGCTTCTTGTCTGCAGGCATAAATCCCTATGACAGACACAGGAGACCCACAAGGTTCTTGCAAATGTTATATTAACAAAACTGCACATTCGGACTGAAAGGCGCAGAGGCAGGACAAAACAAAGAAGGCTGTCAGACTCCCCAAATTCTTCAGGCAGGAGATAGGCCAGTAGCCTTCAAGAACAAAAGGAGGATCACCCAGAGGGCACAGCCACAGAGGCAGAGACAAAGGCCCAACTTGAGGGGCCACAGGGTGGAGCCTCAAGCCATGGAGGATTATTTCCAGGGTTTACAACCTACTGAGTTTTCCCGCTTGGATTTTGAAATTGCTTGAGGCTTGGGGCCAGCAGGTGGCGTGGTAGTTAAGGACACTAGACTCCCACATGGCTGACAAGGTTTCTCACTTTCTCTCTCTCAAATTGAAATAAATAATAAATAAATAAAGATAAATTAAAAAAAAAACAATTAAAAAAAAAGAAATTGCTTGAGGCTGGTGATCCTTTCACTCCTTCCTCTTTTTGACCTGTTATACTACTGCTGCTCCACTAGGAAGCAGATAACTTGTTTTCTAGCTTCATAGATACACATGAAGAGGCATTTTGTCCCAAGACATATTATACCCAGTCTCAGCCATACCTAATTTAGATGATTTAGATTATGAGATTTGGAACTTTGATCTGGGATTTATAAGAGTTGTGCTTTTTTTTTTTAATTTATTGTGTACTATTATAATCTTTTTAAAAATATTATTTTATTTAATTTACTTATTTATTTAAATTTGATCAGAGAGAAACAGAGTGAGAGGGAAAGTGAGAAAGCAAGCCTCTCAGGTCTCGGACTCAATCTCAGTCAGCCATATGGGAGTCCAGTACCGCTAACATACACCACCACCTTCCAACCCCTTTACAGGAGCTTTTCGACTTTGAGTTGATGCATAACAGGTTGATAATTTGGGAGATCTTGGAATGGGGTGAACATATCTTACATGGGGGATAAACACGAATCTTTGGGATAAGAGGGCAGACTGCAGTAGGCTGAGTAATGGCCGTTTGAAGATATCAAGTCCTAACTCCTGGGATTTGTAGATCTTACTTTCTGCTACCATTTTTGGAAAAACAATCTTTGCAGATATAAGGACCTTGATATGGGGAGTTATTCTAGATTAGCTAAGTGGGCCCTAAATGCCACCATGAGTGCCCTTACAGAAGACACAGGGAAGATTTGACACCAACACAGAGAGAGCAGTGTAGACAGAGGCAGAGATTAGAGAGAAGTGGCTTCCAGCCAAAGGATCCATCAGCCACCAGAAGGGGAAGCCAGGAAGCAGCCACCCCTAGAGTCTCTGCAGGGAGTGCAAGCCTGTCAACACTTGATTGTGGCTGGGAGTGAGAGCAATTTCAGACTTCTGGCTTTCAGAGCTGAAAGAGAGTAACTTGCTGTTGCTTTATACTCGTAAATTTGTGACAATTTGTTGTGATTTTCTTTTTTTCTTTTTTTCTTTTTTTTTTTTTTTAATGACATCTATAGGAAACTTATCTGGGGGATGGCTGCTGGCTAGGAACACACAGCCTCTGTTGTCCACAGAGAAGGGAGTGGTGGTACAGGGGGAGTCGCCTGACCTCAGAATGGGGAGAAAAGTTTTAAAAAAGACCTTGGAAATCACTTAGCCTCTCTTAGCCTCAGATTTCCTCTCCATAAAATGTGCATGCAAGACAGAACACTGTGTCCAGTCCTGCTCAGTTCAACACATCTCTGATTCTGACACAAAAAAACAAAGGATCCGGATGCCTTGTGGTGCCCACTGCGTACAGCTGTGACTGAGGAGAGGAGTTACTATCCCAGGGAGGCCCACTCCTTGGAAAGCCTTTTCCCCAAAGAGGAGAGCACCCTTCATGACAGAGGCAGAGACAAAGGCCCAACTTGAGGGGCCACAGGGTGGAGCCTCAAGCCATGGAGGATTATTTCCAGGGTTTACAACCTACTGAGTTTTCCCGCTTGGATTTTGAAATTGCTTGAGGCTTGGGGCCAGCAGGTGGCGTGGTAGTTAAGGACACTAGACTCCCACATGGCTGACAAGGTTTCTCACTTTCTCTCTCTCAAATTGAAATAAATAATAAATAAATAAAGATAAATTAAAAAAAAAACAATTAAAAAAAAAGAAATTGCTTGAGGCTGGTGATCCTTTCACTCCTTCCTCTTTTTGACCTGTTATACTACTGCTGCTCCACTAGGAAGCAGATAACTTGTTTTCTAGCTTCATAGATACACATGAAGAGGCATTTTGTCCCAAGACATATTATACCCAGTCTCAGCCATACCTAATTTAGATGATTTAGATTATGAGATTTGGAACTTTGATCTGGGATTTATAAGAGTTGTGCTTTTTTTTTTTAATTTATTGAGTACTATTATAATCTTTTTAAAAATATTATTTTATTTAACTTACTTATTTATTTAAATTTGATCAGAGAGAAACAGAGTGAGAGGGAAAGTGAGAAAGCAAGCCTCTCAGGTCTCGGACTCAATCTCAGTCAGCCATATGGGAGTCCAGTACCGCTAACATACACCACCACCTTCCAACCCCTTTACAGGAGCTTTTCGACTTTGAGTTGATGCATAACAGGTTGATAATTTGGGAGATCTTGGAATGGGGTGAACATATCTTACATGGGGGATAAACACGAATCTTTGGGATAAGAGGGCAGACTGCAGTAGGCTGAGTAATGGCCGTTTGAAGATATCAAGTCCTAACTCCTGGGATTTGTAGATCTTACTTTCTGCTACCATTTTTGGAAAAACAATCTTTGCAGATATAAGGACCTTGATATGGGGAGTTATTCTAGATTAGCTAAGTGGGCCCTAAATGCCACCATGAGTGCCCTTACAGAAGACACAGGGAAGATTTGACACCAACACAGAGAGAGCAGTGTAGACAGAGGCAGAGATTAGAGAGAAGTGGCTTTCCACCAAAAGAATCCATTTTTTTAATGACATCTATAGGAAAATAATCTGGGGGATGGCTGCTGGCTAGGAACACACAGCCTCTGTTGTCCACAGAGAAGGGAGTGGTGGTACAGGGGGAGTCGCCTGACCTCAGAATGGGGAGAAAAGTTTTAAAAAAGACCTTGGAAATCACTTAGCCTCTCTTAGCCTCAGATTTCCTCTCCATAAAATGTGCATGCAAGACAGAACACTGTGTCCAGTCCTGCTCAGTTCAACACATCTCTGATTCTGACACAAAAAAACAAAGGGGGTGGGGGACCAGGCTATCCAGAGGCCTTGTGGTGCCCACTGCCTACATCTGTGACTGAGGAGAGGAGTTACTATCCCAGGGAGGCCCACTCCTTGGAAAGCCTTTTCCCCAAAGAGGAGAGCACCCTTCATGAATCGGCCCTTAGGGTCATTACTGGAGAACGCCCTCAGTAAGCCATAGGCCAGTGTTTCCTCCAGACTTTCCTGGCCACGCGAACTAAGTGGACATGTACTCATGCCAAAGCTAGTCTCCTTTAAAAATGTGGTTGACAGCTGGGCAAGTAGCTTCAGAGTTAAGATTCCACACAGGCAACTGTGGCTCAAATCCCAGCCACGGTGACTTGAAAAATACACCAGGTACATGTGAGTGTGTGCCCCAAATCCTGACAGGATGGAGAAATGGAGAAGGAATTGTGGTCATGTGGGATCCTGGGTGGAGGCCCCTGGGCATAGAGGTTTAAAGGGGTTAAAAAAAAAAAATTGGCTTTGGGACAGGACAGCCTGGGCTCAGTCTTATTCAAACACTCCCTGACTTGGGACCCTGGCCAAGCTCCAATCCCCAACCTCTGGCCCCCACCCCTGCAAGCCCACTTCCCATCCTTTCTCAACAGCCAGGAGGTGCTCTCAGCAGCTGTGTCTCTTAGGTGACTTTTAGGAGCTCATCCTGTCACCTTGAGAGTGAGGCCAGAATCCAGCCCAGTGAGCACCTCATCCCTGGTCATTCGGGCCTGCAGCATGGATGGACATGAGCCTGGCTCACTTGGCTCCTCCGCAGCCTCATCCCACTGCACCACGGTCACCCTGAGCTGGCTGTGCTCTGTTCTCTGCAATGTAGGGCAGGCCCACCCCACCCCACCCTCCTAGCCCACCTCTGCCCACGTGCTCACCAGGGGATGGATCAGGCCTTCCCGGTTGTGGATGGTGCCCCAGGTGGCGACTCCAATGGTGACAACCTCTCCTTCCTTATATCTGCTGCTCAGGCTGAAGTCCCGCACTGCCTCACCCACCTGCTTCATCACGCCGGTGTGGGATCCCCCAGTGATGATCCAGGCCCCTGGGGAGGAAACGGCATAGGGAAGCCTGGTAGGACCTGATGCAGCCCTGATATCCAGAACCTCCTGAGCTCGGTGATGCTCGCTCCCTGGTATATGCAATGTCACTCACTCTGGGGCTTTTGATCCTGTCAAGGTCAGTCTGACCCGGGGTCAAAGAGGAAGTTTCACTGTCTTCAGGACACAGCTCTGGGACCTGGGGCTTTCCCTCTGTTTAGGTGGATCAGGCTGACAGGAACTGGGACTCAGATTTCCCACTGCAGATCTCACCCTCTGTCCCCACTTCTCTACTGCCTTACCCTCCCGGACTTAAGAGCATGGCTTCTCAGCACCATCTTGGGAGTCTTCTGTTTCCCCTTCCTCTCAGTTCTTGGGACCCTAGTGTGACTGAATGCATCCTCGCTCCTACTCACTCAGCCCTGTTCCCTATAAAGGGTCATCACCCCGCTCATAGCCACAAGGCTTACAGCGGTCCCTGTAGGGGACACACTCACTGTCTACCTGGCCAGGTAGCCTGCCTTGGTCACCCCGCACAGGTCAGTGGAACAGAGCATCGTGACCTCACCCAGCTCTGACACAGAGTGGTAGGTCCTGTGGGCACTGCTGGCCCAGCCCCTGTCCTAGGATGAGAAGATACGATGGGGGAGCTATAGTTACCTCCTCGAAACTGTTTTCTGGTTGCTCTTTCCTGATCAGTGTGGATCAATAGCTCAGAAACTGGTGTTAGGAGCCAGTTCTAGTGTTGTATTAAAACAAAGCAGCAGGTGGCATGGTAGTTAAGGTGCTAGATCCCACATGGCTGACTCTGGTTCTAGTCCCAGACCTGGCCGCTTAAAAATCATACAGGGCACGTGTGTGTGCATGCCCAAAATCCCACAAGGATAATGGAAGAGAAGGGATTGTGGCATGGCCATTCCTCAGGGGTTTTCTCTCTCTCTCTCTCTCTCTCTCACACACACACACACTCACATACATGAACGTACCCTATACCAAAAGCTAAAACAAATTTTAAAATACAGATTAAGCAATCTGATACATGGGGTACTGGGTTCAGGGCAGGGAGTGGGCAGGGAAGACACCTATACCAAAAGCTAGAAAGGTACGATGTTGAGATCTTTGGTAAAACTCCCACTTGTGATTACCTGAGGGTAAGCAAGACCCTAAGGGACCCATGGCGAAGGTTCAAATGTGCCTGAGGTATGGCTGCAGTGAGCCATGTCCCATGTGCCCCAGCTGAGAAAAGGCTTACAGGCAGGGTTAGGACAAGGCAGTGGCAGGGGTAGGGGTAGGGGCTGGCAGATTGAAAGGTACAACTGGCAGACCTCAGAACCAACTATGCTCTCCATGGCACAGGCCAATTAAGACTCAGATTAAGACTGTTTCAGGGCAAGGGTGTGGTCCTCATACCCTTTGTCAAAACCAGATTCTGGGGTTAGCAGGTTGCAGGGTGGTTAAGATACTGGACTCCCATATGACCAACCATGGTTCAAGTTCTGGACCCAGTGGCTTGAAACTAACAGTGGACACATGTGCCCAAAATCCTGAGAAGAGACTGAAGGAGAAGACTGTGGCATGGTTATCCCCCCATGGAGTAGAGGGTGGTGGTGGTGATTTCTCCTTTCTCTTTCTATCTCTCTCCCACAATCACATGTGCCCTATGGCAAAAACAAACAAACAAACAAAACCCAAAAACAAAAACAAAATTTCAGATCCAAGAACCAGGTGGCCTCAGCGTGTTGTTGGCCCATATCATGAGCCTCATTCTGCGTGGTGCACCTCTGAGGCCACGGGTTCTCTGTCCACATATCAGCCATCACTTCAAGGGAAGTTCAGAGGCCTTCGAGGACATGCGACCAACTCCCTGTGGAACTCAGAATCTCATACCATCCGTGTGGACCTTACCCCACTTTGCTCTTACTAGTGGTGTGACCTTAGGGAGTTACATAACTCCAGTGGGCAACTGCCTAAAGTGAAAAGATGGAAATAAGACCCCCTTCCCTGGTTTTAACAGAAAGAATGGATCATGGATGCTCAGTTAATGGAAATACTTCCTGACATCCCATGACTAGCCTCCCAACCCTGGCCTCCTCTGGCCCCTACGCTGGCACCACTGAGGAAGCCCTTCACTTCAAGGCCTCAGGCATTAGTAGGGACAGCCTGCAGCCATCCCTGTCAACCCCCACCCCCACCTCCCGCCTTCACTCCAGGAAATCCCAACCACCATCTATCACCATGAGGCCATCACAGATCTAGCCTCAATTATAAGCAACAGAGTTGCTGAAGATCAATATGTGTACGTCCTTGACCTGATTAGTAGGAGGTCAAAGGCGGCGCTGGAGCAGGTGAGGGTCAGGTGAATCTGACTAGCCAGTGGGCTTAGTGACTCCAGGGTCTCTCCAGTCCTGACGG